AAATAATAAATAATTGTAAAAGGTACTTATTTAGATAAAAAAGATTAACTTCAACATTTTTAAATAAATATTTAGATATATTTAATATTTTTAAAACTAAATATTAAAAAAATATATTAACATGAAATAATTTTTTTTTTTTCAAAACGCCTCCGTGCAGAGAGTGATTTACTCCCATGCATGTGAGTGATTTTCATTCCATGCACGGAGTGAAATCACTCTGTGATGGAGATTGTATTTATTTTTTATTTTTTTACATTTTGTTCATAATAATATTTAATTGTAAAAATATTAAATATATCTAAATTTACTTAAAAGTGTTGAAGTTAATATTTTTTTTCTATAAATAGCTTCTACAATTATACGTTTTTTATTAATTTTAAATAATTGGAAATGATTTTTTTACTTATAAGTAATTTTTTAAATTCTCTATCTTCTAATCTTTTTATCAATATTTAAGGAAGGATAAACAACTTTTAAGATAAGAAGGGATAAGCAACTTTTTATTTTTACCACAAATAAGGAAAAAAATTAATTCACCACTCCGTGCACGGAGTGAAATCACTCCACGCACGGAGTGGTTTCATTCCATAAAAGGAGAGTTCTCTCTTCTAATGAGAAATCAACTGCCGTTACTCTCATTTTCAAAGGAGAGATTCTCTCCGTCCACAGAGAGTTTTTCTTTTTCTTTTTAATTTTATTTTTTATGGATGGATAATTTTGTTGGTATAGAAAAATTATTTTTTTCAATTTTAATTAATAAAAAGAATATATTTAATTTTTTTTAACTTTCCTTTATTTTATTTGTTTCATTTAATTTAATAAAATAATCTTTATACATTCTTCTGAACGACATTCGTTAAATTTAAATTAAATATTTGTTTAAATAATTTTCATTTATTATAATTTAATAACTTCATAATAAATTATTTCTATTTTTCTCCCAATTTCTTTTATTATACAATATAATAGTACTGTTTGTAATCAAGTGAAAGCGAAGTAGTGTATGAAAATTGATAAATCATTAAAACGGCATGTCAAAATCTTGAGATGGCGTGTGAAAATAACATTACAGTGTGATTGAATAGAATAATTTACTATTGCCAAACCAATTTCAAACCAACTTCGTGTGAAAACTTATGTGACAAAAATGAACAGTAAACCTCACATTCTCTCTTTTAAGATAAGAAGGAAAATTTCTTTTATTATACAATATAATAGTACTACCTATAATCAAGTGAAAGCGAAATAATGTATAAAAATGGATAAATCATTAAAATGGTGTGTCAAAATCTTGAGATGGCGTGTGAAAATAACACTGCAGTGTGATTGAATAGAATAATTTACTGTTGTCAAACCAGTTTCGTGTGAAAATTTATGTGACAAAAATGAATAGTTAATCTCACATTTTCTCTTTTAAGATAATGAGGGATATTCTCCAAAAAAAACCACTGATAAAAACTTTATTTTTCAAAAAAATTGGGCTCAAATAGAGCCATGGTAATAATTATATGTATATATTTATAAAACATGTGCTATGTTACATTAAAGATTTAAGATGAAAAAAATATTTATCTTAAATTGTTTAGCACAATAATTTATTTATTATAGTTACCACATCTTTAAAAATGCGATTACTTAATAAGTCACCATCTTCTGTACCTTCTTCTTGAAGTCACAATATTTTTAACTTTTCAAGCATGTTTAGAGCTTCTTGTTATGATACCTTTTATATTTTTGTACTACAATCTCAGGATTACCTCAATTCTCTTTTGTAGCAATGATTTCTTCTCTAGTCATAACGTATATGACTTGATTCTCATGAATAAGGAATTCCTTATTATCCATTCATTAGTATAATAAAATTGTGGAATCTATTCACTTAATTTTGCAATGACTCCTTGATTTTCCTCTTGAAGTCGTCAAATTTTTTACTCTCAGTTCATTAGTATAATAAAATTGTCGAATCTATTCACTTAATTTTACAATGACTCTTTGATTTTCCTCTTGAAGCCAATTTTTTTCTCTCAATTTTACAATGACTCTTTGATATGTAACTTGCAATGTATCGACATTGGGCTCCTGATTTTATAGTGCTTAAAATAATTGACTATTATTGTGGCTCACATTAATCGATCATGTAATTGCTGTATTTACAATTTTATCAAAGACACCTATCTTTATTGGTTCCAAGACACGATCTTCTATCAGTTTAAAAAGTAGGAGATTAAAGTATTGACGACAATAACTTTTAAAATCTCTAACGATGCCTGCATCACAAGGCAGAATATTGAAAGTGCTATTTGGTTGTAGGAATAAAATAGTTGTGTGATGAAGTGGGGATATTATGTTTTTGTAATGTGAGTATAATCATTCATGATAAGTAAAACATTTCAATTCAAACAGCTATATATACCGCTAAACTTCCATAAAAAATAAAAATGACATCCACACCTTTGAATTCGCTTGATACTTGCAGTTGATATTATCACGAATAACATTCTTAAAATATTTTGGATTAAGAAACTTACCAATAACGCAATGCGGATGTTTGTTAGAGTCGTCACTATTGCAACAAATAACAATTATAATTATCTTTTTATTTTGCTTTCGACTCGCCAGCTACTTTGCTGCAACAAAGTTATTTGCTTGAGTGCAATAAGATAAGCCAGTTTCATTTATCAATATCATTTCATGTTTATTTGTTTAATTCCTCTCAAATGGGTGGAAAAATGCTTTAATTTTCTTCATATTGCCGAAAAACAACGAAAGGAATGAATTGCATGTCGTTGCTAGAACTTTTTCAAACATCTATTTGAAAATTCAAACAAAGTAGCTTCAAGATAGATGTCTTTGAAAAATATTTTTCTTCGCTTCTAGCATCTCAACACTCATATTGACATGCTCTTGATGGCTTACAAACCATTCATAGAGGGCATACTTCATTGTTGGGTTCTTTACCAGCTTCGAATGTTTTGCATTTGAATTCAATAATACTCCTTCAAGATTATTGCTTTAGTCTTGGATATTGCTCCTTATAATACCTTAATACCATGAGTATCTTCTAACCACTTCACAAGATAATTTTTTGTTTTGAGTTGGGATTCTATTCTTTCATTTTGCACAACTCCACACGAATACTTCTATAAACCCCCGTTGGCCCCATTAAATCTCATCAAATTAATTAAAAAAAATTCTCTCCTATTTTTAACCACACAATTTTCAATAAAATAATATTACGCATAAATCGAAAACTTTTCATTTTTTTACAACTATTCATTTTTCAAAAAAACACTATTACTGCCATTGTAATAAAAAATAATGGGGGCCAAACGGGGCTTAAGTTGAGTTTGTGCATTAATTTTGGGTGGCATGATTGATTTGATAGAGGAATAAATAAAGAATTAAAGTAGTTGTATATTCTTTTTGTACAACTAATTTGACATTCCTTGATGTATCAATATCATAGATATTGATGGTCAAGATTTTGACACATTATGAATGTCAAATTTAATGTACATAATGAATGTACGTATAACAGCTTTGATAAATAAATTTATCACTTGAATAGTTGAATTGGTTGAGAATTGCAGAGTTTATGTTTTGTACAATGTATTTTATAGAATTTACAAGGAAAATAACATTAAAGAGAATGTAAAATTTTATACTTTTAAGATAATTTTATATATTTTTAACACTCTATAGATATATGTACCAAGTTTTTAAAATTATGTGTAGTTTTTTTTTTTCAATGTATATACCTTAAATTTGACGTGCTTTATTAATTAATTATATTAGTAAAATGCATACTTACCCTTTTTGGTGGAGTATGAAATTATATTTTAATATATTTTAATAAAAGTTGATAAAATATATGGTTGAAAAGTTATATATTTCATAAAATATGTAGTTAAAATTAGTAGTTGACTCTTATTCAAATTAATATTTAGACTTTAATTTCTACCAAATAGGGATTTAGAATGTGTTTGATTACGAATATGAAATTTACATGTAAAGAAAATAAATTTTAGGCAATTCAACTGTCTAAAAATTATTTACATGAAAATTGTCAATTAAATGTTTCGATTGTTTTTTTTTTCAATTTAGAAAATATTATATTTGTCCATTTTTTATTGATAAGTAAACGAGAGAGATAGGGGGTGATGAGAGAGAGTGAGTGAATTACCCGAAACATAAAAGCTTACTTTATCTAAAGAAAATATTTTCCTTATTTTTAAGAAAAATATAATCACATGACTAAAAGTAGAAAAATATTTTTTTATGAATAAATACCAATCAAATAGCACAAAAATAGGAATTCATGTGAAAAATGACATTTTTCATAAAAAATATCAACAATCAAACAACTCATAATCTCTTTAGCTTACAATAAAAATAATTAAATCAAAATAAGAATTTTGTGATTATAATCCTCTAGTAATAACAAAGTGAATTTGATTTCAACAGTACGACAATAGAGAAAATTGAGTTAATTGTTACAATGGTCACCGAACTTAAATCCATATCTTTGATTGATCACTAAAATTTAAAATATTAAGTTTTGGTCATTGAACTTAGATCCACGACTTTGATTTTTCACTAAAGTTTAAAATGTCGAGTTTTGACAACTAAACTTTTAAAAATGTTGTACGTAACTCACTGAACTTTGAAAAATATTGTATATTACTCGCTGTAAACTCGATATTTTTNAACTAAACTTTTAAAAATGTTGTACGTAACTCACTGAACTTTGAAAAATATTGTATATTACTCGCTGTAAACTCGATATTTTTTAAAGTTCAACAATTATATTAGTGAGTATTATACGACATATTTCAAAATTTAGTGATCAAAACTCTATATTTTAACTTAGTAAGTAATCTAAGATATGGATTTAATTTTAGTGAGAAATCGAAAATATTGATTTAATTTTGATGATCAAAATTCGATATTTTAAATTTCCGTTGCCAATCAAAGGTGTATAATGACCATTTGAACAATTACCTCGAGAAAATTAGTTTTGCCCCAAAATTAGTATTACATACCTTTTGGCATGGAGCAGGAATTTGCAGATCAGACATGGAATGGAAGGCTCCCAACAGCATCCCCGTCTAATTCTTCGCAATTTTCTCTCTCTAGATGCCTGCAAGGTCGGTCGCTTTAGTACCATTACTATATTGCTTATTAGTTATTACATATATGTATTTATCACTTTTCAATTGATGTATAGGAATTGGAGTTCATACATAAAAGCTGTTGTACAGTTGGTTATAGACAAAATGTTTTCTCCACAACTCTCTCCCATCTTATTGCCACTAATTCTTCGCATTTTATCATTCCCTTTGTCCCTATCAGAGGTTTTTTTTCTTCTTCTCCAGTTTTATTTTTAACAATCCAAAACGATCTTTATTATCCCTTTTTCCTTTAATTGTGATTGTTTATTTTTTACCCAATATGATTGAGGGTTTGTAGAGAGGTTGAAGGAGAAAGTGGAGGAGCATTTTGGATGCGAGTATGAATTGTTTGTCGAATTCACTGGACTCATAAGGTAAGCTTTTTTCTCTCTTCAATTTTTGTTTTATTTTGTTTCAATTTCTTTCATTGCAGTATTTGGTGAAACCCAAAAATCTTGTAATTATCAATCCCATGTGAGCAAAAAGGCATTTTCTTTGTCCAATTCCTTCCTAACGCCATCCTCAGCTGTGGATAAAGAAAGAAAGGATTTGCTCAGCCTAAGTAGAAATCAGGACATCTGGTCACAAGAAGGCGGCAATGTCCCGAGGTGATTACTAATTACAGTGGAAAGAGTGAAAGCAAGTGAAAAGTTCTTTGTGCAAAATTATAGTGACAGTTTATCAATAATTTTTGTCCTTTATAATTTGACAATACCATTGGTAATGATATTATATCCACAGTGAAAGCATTATTATCATGTAGTAACGATTCGTCTTTCTCAAATGTTGGAAAGATTCCTTGAATTTGGCTTTTGAGTAAATTTTAAATGAATCTTGAACTTTAGCCACAAGTAGAAGAAAAAGACTGAGTAAACCTCTTTTATTGTTTGGTTTCAAAGGAGATAACAAGGGAAATAAGTGTACCAAATTACCAATGTGCGTTATTTCCTTCTATCTTCTATCACATTTGACTTTTTTCTTATTGTAATTTCTAGAGGGGAAGTTATAAGGCATACCTCCGAGGTACATCATTACGACAGAGGGAAAAAAATAATTTACAGTACCATAAATATGGAAGTTCTACTCCCATTACATAAGACCTATAGCACAGAAGAATCTGCTCAAGAATTGGGAGGAGGATAATTTATCTAATGAATTTCGCAAGATCTGACGTATTCTTCTCATTGGAGAATTAGAAATTTTTCGAGAAGTCCTAATTATATGTATTGGAAATAGAAAGATATAGTTATATTGTATTAAAAGGGTAAATTGAAAGCACGTTGTTTACAACATTTGTTCGCATTCTGGAGTCTTATAGTGCTATGGATTGCCTACAGCACAGTTGAATTTTGTTGGCTGATTATTTTTATTTGATTGCTTGGTCGTCAGTTAAGCAAACATCCTGTGGTTAGTCCTCCATTGAGCATGTTTGTGTGCCATTGTCACTAGCTAGCAAGTTATCCTAATCATATTGTTAGGAAGGATAGGTGAACTCCCGTTAAAATTTGCACTGCACGACGTTGCTAGATGATCCTCTTTCATATGCATTTTTGAGAGGTAAAAATGTGAAAACCTTGATAGTCTTCTCCTGATAGTACTTACGTATAATACTTGAAGTTGGGGATTTTAGTTGATCAACTATTGGCTATCAATTGGAAATTGTTGTATCTGTTATCCAGGGTGCAGTTTCAATAGATATGTCCATTCCTAAGGTTGTAGCTTAAATAGTAATTATATCTGGCATATATGAGTTTTGACCACAGGGTGTTCATTCACACGGAAATTTCCAGCAACTTGTTAATAGTTTAACAGTTTAAAATCAAATTATTCAACACCGAGATGCCAAACATTCTTCTGTTTGCACATGGGATGTTGAACAAATTTCTTTTAGCACTTTTGACACCATTTATTTCTCTTGATTCAATTCACATGACAATAGGTAGAAAATTCATTATTCCATCATGTATATGTAGTGTGATTCACTTTTCCAGAAGTTGGAGAATATTAATAAATGTTGGAATAACGCCTTTCCTTTTAGCATGGAATTGTAAATGTTCTGCTCTCATTCTTAAATTAAATCTGACATGTAGATTATCTGTCTAAAATATTGGTCGGTCTACAGTCTACTATTATTTTAATGCATCATTGTGTCTTGTCGGTGCTTTGTATATCAGCTGGTGCAGGGGTGCAAGTATAGGATGGCATAGTGATGATAACAGAGATTATCTTAAGCAACGGGATTTTGCAGTGCGTATCCAAAGCTATCTTTCATATTTCATTTTTCTTTCTTGTTATCAAATTCATCTAATACCTTCTTATCTTTTTGTACATCTTTGTTTTGAACTTTTGGATCAATGCGAGTATATGCCAAGATTTTATTTTATTTTATTTTTTTATTTTTTTATTTTTTTTCCTTTTCTTTGAAAGGCAGCAGATATGTAAAACCTTTAATTTAGGAAAGTGAATGATGTGCCTTTTTCATTGTTGACAGCCTCTCCATTATTTGAGAACCCCATGTCCGAAGGCATAGCAACAACTGTTATTACATTGGAGTACTTGAGTCGTTTGATTCCCATTTTATTCTAATATGCTAAGTTGCTTGGGCATGGACACTCGATTTAATTTTTAAAAGTTTAAATTTTATATATCTTTATTTGTATACATTTTAAGGGTTGTTTGATCCCCATTTTTTGAAAATTTATTTTTTCAAAACTCATTTTCAGCCACACATTTCCAATAAAATAATATTACACGTAAATCGAAATTTTTTTCTTAATTTTTAACCACTCACCCTCCAAAATCACTATTGAAAAATGCATTTTTCTCTAAAATGGGGCTCAAACAAGGGCTTAAAATAGAACATAAAACATGTCATGTTGAACACTTGCCCAAGAATTGTCCTATAGTG